TGACTGAGCTTCTTATCAACAGGAAACGCCTGCCTAAGGGGACAGGGCAGGTCCAGGGGGACTGGACGCCAGGGATTGGGAATTCTGGGTAATGCACTGCTGCTGTCCAGGCTGACCGAACGGCCTCATGATTGCCAGGACCCAGTAAGGCTCTTGGCCTTGGCATCTGGTGAATCCTTAGGTCTACACAGTAAGACAGCACACCAGACCGGCCCTGAGGCCAAAGGTCTGCAGGAGGGTGGGGCTCCACCGCTAGCCCTCCATGACCAAGGACAAGTCACCAAACAGCTCAAGCCATAAAGTAAGAATTGCCCTTATCCCTAAAACCCACCAAACCCCCCCCCCCTTTCTAGCTGAGGAGAGGCCAAATGACCTACCAAGGTCACAGACGACTTAATGACAATCGCCCCAGTTGGCCCTTCTACTGTGTTTGCCTTCAGCCCTCAGAGGATGGCACCTGTGCTGGGCCTCCAGGCCTGGGACAATTAGGTACTTGGCATGACTTCTAGATGAAGGGAGGAGAGGGGCTCGAGCACTGATTAACCTCCTACTATGTGCCAGGGGCTTTAAAAAACACGGATCCTCACTCCAGGCTACTGGTTTCCCAGACGGGGCTCCCAGGAGAGGGACAGACTGAGGGTCAGGTTTCACGGGACGCTAAGATCAAATCTTGGTGCTGAAAATAAACGCCCAAGAGGGATATCTGGGCCAAGCAAGGCTTTATGGGTGGCTCAGAGGAACAGGTTTATCTAGACGTCTTTCTTCAGACTGGCAGACGACTGAACCAAGAGTATGAGAACTGGCTGTTCCCCTGGTGAGGAGAGACAGGAAAGGTTTCTGTAGAACAGAGCTTGGGCCACCTTGCTGCCCACTTCCTGGCCCTCTTGCCTACCAGTTGCTCTTGAGAGGCCACACTCTGCTTTTGGAAATTCCAGCGTGCCTCTTGCCCTGTCCTTGTGTCTCCCCGGACAACCCCACTCTTCCCTCTCACCTCACCACTTGCGCCTCCAGTTGGGATCTAGGTCAGTAAGAGTGGGTGGGTGAGAAAGAACAGAGAAGAGACTCATCCAGACGTGACACCCCGCAGGGCAGCAGTGACAACACTTTAACCTGAAATCTGCCTGAAAATAGACTGTGTCTATGACATTATGCAAATTATATGCAAAGTCAAGAAGCCCTCTGTCTCTATTTCTAGCAAACTGAATGTGGCCCTGGTGTTAGCAGCTCCTTCCAAGAGTCGCCCACCTAGAGTGACGACGGCAGTTCGCATCAGTCCCCAACCTGGGAGACTGGACTCAGGATGGGCACCCCTCCACTCCAGCCCCAGGCCTGGGTCTTTTACACATGAGGACTGTTACGTCTTGGTCTGTTAATCTTGATGCAAGTGAGGAGTTGGAGAAGCACAGCACCCTCCTTGAAGGTGATGTGGGGTGGGCCTGAGGGACATTGGTGACTGGGAGGAAGGGAGAATTGTCCTTGAAGGCCTGGGTACCGCGAGGCCCTGGCAGGGGAAGGTTGGTCCTCAGCCTCAAATCCCATGCTCTAGAGACCACCTTCACCCCACACTTGGGCATGTTACAGGCACTCATCACCCCTAGGGAGGGTCCTTATTACACAGACAATCCTCTCCCTCTTTGCACAGGTAAGGACATTAGAGTTTGGGGTCCCCCAGGAACGTAGAGCAAAACACTAAAGAAGTCAATGGGTTTCTTTCTTCCACAGGCAGGCAGGTTCCCTAGGCTCTACATGGCACCTCCCAAGGGCACGGTGACCTCCCAAGGACTCTTCTACCCCTGGAGGGCAATGAGCCAATTCTCCTTTGTCCCACCCCAGCCATAGCCAACCACAGTGTGGCCATCGGGGTGGAGATGTAAGGACCAGGTTGGGTGGCCACAGGGAGGGGAAAGGCTGCCTTTGTGGGACACCAGGAACGCTCCAATTTCCACAAAGCTGGTCTGAGAGGTCCTCTGGGGAGGAGGGCACTGTCTGTTGTGGGGAGCTCCATGGACACAGGCACCGGGAGGCTGTAGCAGGCTCTAGGCATAAGGCCAACTGGGGGGGCCGCAGGACATAGGGTCGGTCCTCTGTGATACAATCAGGGCACCCTTTCTGCGGTTCCCTAACAGGGCCTCTGATACAAAGGCACAGATTTTTCTGGGCTGAGACGTCAGATGGACGAGTCCCTTCTCTACTTCTTGCAGTACCTTTCTCCCACATGGCACGTCCTTGCCCCGACTGTCCCGGGGTTGGGGGTGGTGGGAGGGTGTTTTCCAAGCCCAGGACGCCAAGATGGGTCTCCGAGGATGGTGAGGTCCTTACCAGTCCAGGGGTGAGGGCCGACTCCCGGCAAGGTGGGGGCCCCATTTGGGGAGGGACTTGAGAACAGAGAAAAATCGAGGCAGACGGGTCCAAGCTGCCTCTGAGTGAAGACACAAAAGAGCGCCTTCCTAGGTTTTCGGGGGACAGTCCCTGCAGACTGAGACCCGGCGCAGCTCACGCACGTGCACGCCGGACGCGCAGAAGGCGGTCCAGCCTTGGGAAGGGCCCGCGGGTGCCTGCGCAGGGGCGGGGCGGGGCGGGCGGCGGCCGCCCGGCAGCCTTTGGCCAGCAGAGGGCGATGTGGCGGACGCCTCGATCTGTCTGCTCAGGGGCAGAACTGAGATTTGGGCCGCGGGCGGGCGTGTGGGGAATGATCCTGCGCGAACTTGTGACTTGTGTGTGAAGGGCAAAGACCGGGCATGATACTCAGGGACTCGCTCCTTCCCTGTCCCTTCTGGTTCCCTCTGCGACGAGCCACTGCAGAGGAACCAGCTTAGCAAGACTCAGCAGGAGCTCGAGACTGGACCATGGTTTATTGAGGACCTACTGTGTGCTGAGCACGAGCTGAGTGCTCCCACAAGCAGGATCTCCAGGTAAGAGGCTGTAATTTGGGCCCTGGCACACCTTCCTGCACTCAGACGGAAGCACCGGGTGCTCTGCTCTCACCAAAGCCTCTTTCCATCCCTGACCACTGGCCGTTAGCCGGCCCCTGTCACTCCACTTCCCGCCTCAGACCTTCACCCCCTCAGGCATTTTCCAGCCTCTGGAGAGCTGCTGCCTTTGGAGTCCCAGGAGGAGCCTCTTTGCTTCCAAATCCAGCAGAGATAAAATCTGTCATGGGGAGGACTGACTCCTGGGCTGAGCGGGTTCCAGTAACCAGAAGACGCAAAACTGCCGGGAAGTAAACTGCCCTGTGATCATCTGAGAACCTAACAGGTCCCTCTCACTTTCTGTTTTCACCAGTTTCACTTCCTGGTTCTCCTTCGGGCCTTGCACAACTCAGGGAGCCAGGCCTGGGAAAATGCCACGGTGCACGCAAGCCGCCCCTGGGTGGGGGCAGAGGGGAGGGGGGGGTGCTGGGTCATTTGCAGCGGGAGGGAAGGAGGCTGTATTTTTGTCACCTCCTGTGGAGAATGGTGGGTCCTTCCCTGCCCCAAGGGCTGAGAGGCCAGGTCTTCTGAGCTTGGGACTGTTCTCATCCCTAGCCTGAGCCCTCCCACCCCACAAACCTGAGGCTCTACCTCCCATCCACCAGCCCAGGCTTTGGAGTAACCTCTCCATCACATGGACATACACCCTTGACATTGCCAAATGCTGAACATTCCACGTGTTTCTCCACAGCCATCAGGTTCTTCTTAGACACACACGGTCTGGGGTCTGGCCAAGACTGTGGGCCTGGGCCAGGGACCAGTGGAGAGCAGGAACCTGGGTGCTGGAGGCTTGCTGGCTGGAGCCAAATTTCTTCTGAGCCTCAGAGGCCCTGCAGGAAGCCGGCCCTCAGCCCTTCTCAGTCCTGGACAGAGAAGGCTAAGCCACAGCGGGGTGAGCGGCCGGCTTGCCTGCCCAAAGGCCCAGGGTTGTCTGGGCCCAAGGATGGCGGCTGGTTTGAGTTAAAGCAGGAACTGGAGCTTGCAGAATTAGTCTAGGAGGCCCTTCAGGCACTCCTGGCCTCAGATAAAGTTCTTTTCAAATCCCCATCTGGAGGCAAATTGCCAGGGGCTGGGGGGCAAAAGAAGCAGAAGGGACTGATGAACTGAGCTCTGACACCGGCTGAAATTTCAAAGAAACCTCAGAGGACATCAGGACTGTGGGACAGTGAAGGTCCTGGGACAGTGAAGGCCTCATTCTTGTCACGTAGAGCAATTACCTAGGACCAGAACCTGAGTCTCTTGACTCCCAGCTGAGTCTTTCCCCAGCTGCGCTGGGCTTCTGAAAGCCAAGCTTTCAGTTAGTCCGAAAGTCCTGGGCCTCACCCGTCTGACCTGCTACCTCTGCACTGTCCTCTGACCCTGCCACACCTGCAGCAGGACTCCCTGGGTGGAACACCCTAATAAGGCAGCTAGGATGGAGGTGGGGGAGGGGCCCAGGATCTGGGCCCCAGCTCTCCCAGATGGTTGGCAGCTGGTGCTCAGCTGGTGGGGTCTTGTCCCAGAGACAGAGGCCCCAGGCCTCATAGAGCTGAGATAGAAACCCACACAGAGAAAATGACGGGCCCTGGGTGTCTGTCGGGCTTGTGCCAGAGGCTGAGACCTGGCAGGGCAGGATGACTACTGAAGGCTGGACAAGGCCCTGTGTCACCCGGGCAGGTCTGGTGGGGCAGTGGGGTTAACTGAGGGCAGGGGGTAAAGTGCAGGCCTAGGCTCTGGGCCCGGGGACTGGGATTCCCTGGCCTGGCCACCCTGGCTCTGGGGCCTCTTTTGCATCCTATCCTGGGGGTGGTAGGGGCTGTGCCCCAGGGCGTGAGGGTGGGGAGAGAGCCAGGCGTCAGGGAGCCTGCTTCTCTGCGCGGGCCAGACGGCGGGGGATCGGGTTTCAGCCCAGCTGTATTTTTGGCTGGATGAGCCGGCAGGCAGGCACAGCGGCCCAGAGAGGGGCACCCTCTACCCAGACAGGGCACCCACCGTCTGCCACCCACCCCACACGCACTGCAGGTACAGGGGAGTCAGGCTTCAGGCCTGTGGCTAGCGAATCACTTTGGGCTTCTCGAGACCGTTGCTGAGTTTCTGTAGTGTCTTCTTGATCCGCAGAGCCGTGAGGCGGGCAGAAGGGTTGGGGTACCAGCACTCCCGCATCATCTGAGCCAGGCCTGAGAGGACCTGTGGGGGGAGGTGGGGCAGGGAGAGGCAGAGGAGAGGAATCAGAGACACAGATCAGGGAAGATGAAAAGGAGGTGGTGAGAAGGGGGCGGCGCCCAAATGGGGGGACATTAACCAGTACAGAAAGGACCGGATGGGGGAGATAAGAGCATCGAGGAAGGGCAGAGGAAAGACAGAGTGGTAAGAAAGGGAACGGAGGGCAGGAGAGGAGAAAGACGAAAGACGGAAGGGGAAGACAGTGGAGTGACGAAGGGTGGAAGGTGGCAGGCGGGACAGAAAGAGAGCTGTAACTCAGCCCTTCGGGGGCACTCAGGCCCCCTTCGGTGAAGAGTGTCGGGGGAACACCTTACCCTCACCCACCCCCCACCTCCGCCAAGATCCGAGGAAGGGGAGACATGCAAGCCTCGGAGCCTCCACGTGCCCCGTGCGGCTGGACTCCAGTGCGGAGGGAGGGACTCCCTGGCAGGGCCCCGTGGATACTGGAGGAGGGTCCAGGAGGAGCCCGTCCCAGGAAGCTGAGTGGTCTGAGACTGAACGAGCAGCACCTCTGCCTCAGAACTCAAGCTGGTTCCCGACGGGGAGTGTATGTGATGTGTGTGTGCCCAGCACTGCCTATGCGTGGCTTTTTATGGATACGCATGTTGTGCAGAAACACGTGTCTATGTACATGTATGTATATACATGCATATTCATTCCTTCAATAAACATTTGTTGGGCATTCTGAGCCAGGCACTGTGATAGATAGCTGCGATACAAGGCAGCGGAGGAGACATGTTCTTTGTCTTCACAGGGCCAACCGTCTGGCATATATGTGCATGCATATGTATCTGTGAGTATATGTTTATGTAGAAGCGTGTGCATGCCTGTATGTGTTTACATACACATGTGCCTGTGTCTTATATATGTATGTGGAGTGTTTAGAGAAAAAAACGAAAACAAACAGCAACAACAAAAAAACTCCATAGCAAGAAACGTGGCAGAGAGACTCTGCCTTTTCAGGCAAAATGGAGGGTTCTGAAAATCCAACATTTCAGGGGTCCACAGGCCACGGATGTGGGAGGTCAGAGTACCCCCGGACAGACCCTGGAATCCACCCTCCAGAATCGATCCAGGTGAACAGACACCTGAGGCACAAGTTCCCGGGGCCAGAAGTCCTAGCCGTGAGCCACCGCCCCGTGCCATCCCAGCCCCCGGGGAGGCCTCACCGGGTCTGCGGTCAACCGGTTGGGGATGGTGGGGGTCTGCTGATCAACACACACCACCTTCTTCATGTCCTCAAAGCTGGGATCATTGGGCACCACGTCATAGAAGGGTGGCCGGTAGTCCTCCACGATGCCTGAGGATGGGGGGGGGTGGGACAGTCACTGGGCACCCCAAGAAGGCCCCACGCCACCCTGGGGAGAGGCTTGCCCATCTTCTGTTCCACGGTCCGGAAAACCAGGTGTCTTGACCCATGCTACCCTGAGAGGGATGCTATGACATAATCGATACGTGCACCAATAATGATAATTACTGCTAATTTTGCACTCGCCATGTGCCAGGCATTGGGCTATAAACCCTTCAATGCTTCCTTTTGTTAGCCTTCACGACAACCCAACGCGATGGGTATTATCGTTACCCCTATTTTACAGATAAAGAAACCGATGCTCAGAGGCGTTGAGCCCCAGGTGACACAGCTAGTAAGGGTAGAGTCAAGATTTAAACTCACCTTGGGGCACCTGGGCGGCTCACTCAGTTAAGTGTCTGACATCGGCTCGGGTCACGATCTCATGGTTTGTGAGTTCCAGCCCCCGAATCGGGCTTCACGCAGACAGCGTGGAGCCTGCTTGAGACGGTCTCTTTATCCCCCTCGCTCTCTGCCCCTCCCCCGCTCATGTTTGCCCTCTCTCTCAAAATAAATACATAAACTATATAAAAGTATTTTAAAAAGAAAAAGACTTGAACTCATCTCATTGGATTGCCAGGCCAGACCTTGTTTCAGTCTTTCCGTGGCTGCCTCCTGCCCGGGGTCTGGGCACTGCTCCCAGGCCCCAACCATCACAGATGCCCGATAAAAACGTTTACTGGGCACGTTCCCTGTGCCAGGCCTGGTCCTAACTGCACTGCATTAAATCTTCACAACAACCCTCTGAGTAAGTCATGCTATTAGCTCCACTTTATGAACGATGTAACTGAGGCCAGAGAGGTTAAGACACTTGTCTGAGATCACACAGGTAGTGAGTGACCGAGCTAAGACTCAAGCCCAGGAAGTCTAACCAAAGCCTGTGCTCTTGACCTCCAAGCTATACTTAAGAGAGAGAAGCTGGCCTGCTGCGGGGTGCGGAGGGAGAAAGGGATCTTCACCCGGCTCCAAGTAACACCCACCCACTCTGAGACACGGCACAGGCCTCGCTGACCCCTTAGCAGGCAGTACTACCTCTCCTCACTGTCCCTGAGGAGAAGCCTTCTGAAAATGATGCCTGTGGAGCTGCAGACAGCGCAGGCAGAAGAGGCCAGACCTAGACAAGGCGCCCCGAGCCCCCCTGCTTCCCAGCCTGAGCCTGGGGGCCGTGGCTACGCAGCCGCAACCTCAGGAGGGCCCACGCCAGCTGTTCTCCCTGTGGCGGGCTTCCAGGCCGGCCCCTGCGCCTCTCGAGCCCTAATCAGTGCTGCGCAGAGGCCTGAGCGTGTCTAATGGGCCTTTAATCAGTGCCGGGGCTGACACCAGATTACAGTGTTTATAATGCGCCACGAATCTGTGTGGGGCTGACAGAGCTTCCCTCCGCCCCAGGAGCCTGCGGTCAGCCTCCCTTGCGGCCCTGGCCGCTCCAGCCTTCTCGTCCTGCCTGCAGCCTGGCCCAGGGGGTCTCGGCTCCTTCCAGGTGCCCCCTTCCCCAACCCTAGCGTTCAGAGCCTACTCTGGGAGTGTACGTCTGAAGGGGCAGGAATCTGAGCCCCTCCAGAGTCTCCCAGAGGGACTGGCTCCACTCTGGCCTCTCTCTACCAGGCAGCGCTGAGGGTAAAAGAAGGCTCGCATGGGGCTGGCTCCTAGCGGATGCTCAGGAAATGAGAATGTCCCTGTCCCCAAGGAACGGAGCTCCAGTTATATCCTGAGGTTGGCCCCAACCTGTCAGGACCTCCGGCAATCCCTCCCCACAGACAGCCTCCACAAAGACTGACAAGCCTCCCCACCTGGTCCAGGGCTGCAGGGCACCAGCCACAGGTCTGCCCCAGCAAGGCTGAAGTCCCTCCAACTGTTCCTAGCCCCTCCAAAGGCGCCCATGTGTAATAATGAGGCAGCGATAAGCAGGCAGTGCAGACACTACTATATCCTGCATTTTTATAGCAAAGAAACCAAGGACCAAAGAGGTTTAAGTAGCCCGGTGATAAAGAGCACTAGCCCCAGAGTCATACTGGCCTGGTTTCAGAACCCGATACTGCCTCTAGCCAGCTGAGATTCTGTACCTCAGTACCCTCATCTGTGAAATGGGGATGCTACCATGTCAGGTATTCGTTATCACAATAAATTGCTGCTAATATTTACTGAGCCCCAGAATACCTCCAGATACTGTCCTAGGATTATCTCAATTAGAAACTATTAAAAAAATTGTTTTAATGTTTACTTATTTAGAGAGAGAAAGAGTACGTGAGCAGGGGGAGGGGCAGAGAGAGAGACTCCCAAGCAGGGCACAGAGCCCGGCTCGGGGCTTGAACTCATGAACCGTGAGATCATGACCTGAGCCGAAGACAAAAGTCGGGCGCCTAACCGACTGAGCCACCCGGGTGCCAATACTAGAAACTATTTTTATTCTCATCTCCAAATGAAATGGAGGCACAGAGAGGTTAAGTAACCTGCCCATGGTCATAATCAGGAACTGAACCCAGGCAGTCTGATTCCCAGCCCATGCCCTTAACCGCTAAGTGATACCACCTCCTGCCAACACACGATGATTAAAGAACATCATCCGTGCATATAGCAAGGCACGTGGCACATATTTAAGCTCAATAAAAGTTAGCTGCTATCACTTATCCAAGATTTCACAGCCAGACTCATAGATTTGCAGAACCACACCTTAAACGGTCACTCAACTCGACCCTCATGCCACGGGCACCAGCCATGGCAGGAAGCCCCTGTCTCCTGCCTGTCTGCTTGTCTATCCACCTGACCCATCCCTCTTTCTCCACCCTGTGAGGGGTGGGCCCTCACCATTGACAATGGTCCGACGGGCGATCTCCCACAGCACCAGGCCAAAGGCCCAGATGTCTGTCCACTTGTAGGACTCGAAGCAGTCGGTGCGGATCTGCTCTTCCAGCACCTCGGGGGCCATGTACCGCTTGGTGCCCACTCGTGGGTTGTTTCCGATGTCCAGGTAATCACTACCCTGGGAGTGCATCACAGCCAGGCCTGTGGGTACCAGGCCTGTCACTCCTGCCACTCGCCCAAGCCCCCAGAGTAGCCCCGGAGGCTGGGGTGCAGGGGGCAAGGTGGGGATGGAGAGAGATGGTGAGACATAGAGTAGCAGGCGAATGGAGACCTGCCCTGCGGCGGGCTGGGAGACAGCAGCCACCGGGAGAACCACCTGCCCCGGTTATATTCTGCTCGTGTAGCTCCCCTAGGTGCCCAAGGACCCGGAGAGATGTGAGTAGGCAAGGCAGGTGCAATTATGCCCATTTCACAGAGCAGAACCCCAAGGCCCGGTGAGGGGAGCCATGCAGTCAGTGAAGCCAGGATGAGAACCCAGGTTCTTGGAGCCCTGCCCCTTTCTCCCAACTCCTGGAGCCAGAGCGGTATGCCGGAAAGAGTCTGGGCTTGCAAAGCGTCAAGGCAGCTTGTGGGGCTCTCGCAGAGGTGAAATGAGACAACACACATGCCTGGAGGGATTAAAGCGCCCATCAGTAGTTGAGTCGTCGCCACACTCAGGAACAGGCAAAGGCAGAGAACCTAGTGAGGGGGAGAGTGCTCGAACCCCGCGCCCCGCGAAGGGCCCGCCCTACCCGGGCGGCTCACCCAGGTCGGCGATGCAGCACTGGAGGTTGCTCTTGACCAACACGTTGCGGCTTTTGAGGTCCCGGTGGGCGATGGCCGGTTTGCCCTGCGTGCCGAAGATCTCCACGTGCAAGTGTGCCAGGCCGCAGGCGGCCGATACAGCCAGCCTCAGGGCCAGCTGGGGCTCCAGCGTCTGCCTCTGCAGAAAGTCATAGAGTGACCCATGCTCGTGGTAGTGCGTGATGAGCCACAGCTGCGTGCTCGAATTGCGGGAAGTCATGTCCGAGGCGATAAAGCCTGTGGGCAGAGGGTCGGGTGGCTCAGGCAAGGGGCTAGGGATAAGGGAGGCCGGACTGATCGGGTCAGGGCA